TCATCCTCTCCTCCTCCTCCTCCATCATAGTCTCTATATGGGTCGCGGCATCCACCAGACGTCCATACTCCCGGATCATAGAACCCCCGACTCTCATCTTCAGGCCATGCCTCAATTTCCTCTTGAACTCAATGCAACGACGTTCCTCAGACGCCACAAGCTTAGGTGCGAACCTGGATAAGCGAGTAAATGCGGCCTCAAACTCGGCCATTGATAAACTCAGCTGCTTGAGTTGACAAAACTGGTTCCTCAGCTTCTTCCTGACAGCTGAGGCTAAGAACTTCTCCTGGAAAGCACCTACAAAAGCCTCCCATGTACCACCAACACGGCCTCTCATGAACTTCTACCACTGACCCGCATCCCCCTTTAGTTGGAAAGATGCCAAGGTCACCTTCAATACCCCGTCTTCGATGCCAATCATCTCAAATGTCTTGGTCATCTGCTCCAACCATTCATCAGCCTTAAGTGGCTCTTGAGGATCCCCGACAAACTCATCCGGATTTGACCAGAAGAACTCCCTCTTCAGAAAGGAAGGCCCTGCATCAACAAGCGGGGCCTAAACTGGATTCTCAGCTCTGAGCATGCCTATGGATTCCCTCATAGCCCTTGCTATCTCGCGGGCTAAGGCACCCAAGGCCTGTTGCCCCACTGGCTCGGCCACATTGGCCTGGCCAACACCCTTCTACTGTGCCAGAATATCATCCGGTAAAGGCATCTCTTGCCTACCACGTCTACCTCCACGTCTTCGTCCTTGTCCTGACATCCTAATAAAGGTAACAAAGAACATTAGCACATTCACAAATGTGCTGAAGCTATAACACTCACATCCTAATGCAAAGAACAACTGTAATTCACTCCACGTAAGCACATAATCACATAAGCACTTACGGATTTCATTTCTGAATGATGATAGTCTCGAGGCATTACTAGAGTTCCGGTTAGAAACAACATTGATCAAGTGTTTTTCCAACAAGACTCACAGAAACCCAAAGATCCAATCAACATCCTAGAAACTAAATCCCATACCCAAATTGTCACATGAGCATGTTATCACGTAAACATATAACACTACATCTAAGTCTCTATCAAGCGAGACGAACCCATTGTGGTACTAACCACTTCCCGCGTACCCAAAGTATTCGAACCCGGTACGCTCTGATACCAAGTTGTAATGCCCTCAAAATAAACCCATAATAACATACATTCACGATAAAGAAAATAGATTTCATATTATAATCATCAGAGTATTCTTACAAAAGGTATTATATGTTGACAACAAAAGTAAATGCCCTATATGCTTACAACTTTTCCAAGTCAACACTTGATCACAAAAAAAAAAGAGTACTAACTCTACACAAAATAAGCCATTGGCTTGATATACATGTAATACAATAAAACAACAAAAAGGAGTCTGACAGCCCCAAGCCTCCCAAGCTACGTCCTTAGAGGTGGCATAACACTTGTACCTGAAAATGATGTCCCATATAGGGTGAGCCAACGCCTAGTAGAGATATGCTAAACATAATATGAGCAATAACTAAAACATTAGCACTTGATAAATGTCTAACTCCTATAAACCAATCATACAGTACATTCCAGTCCCATAATCCTTCACTTAACAAAACTCAACATATAAACATGGCTCAGAACCTAGCCAGACAACTTAAGCGAGACTACATCTCAAGCCAATAATACTTCAAACTGCAATTTTACGGAAATTGCGTCCGCGGGATTCGGCACCCATGTGTAATTATTTTCTCATGGCTATTTTACGGACATTTCATCCGCGGGACTCAGCACCCATGTATAGATGTTTTCGGATTGCCATTTTATGGAAATTTTATCCGCGGGATTCGACACCCATGTATAGATATCTTGACTTGCCATTTCACGAAAATTGCGTCCACGGGATTCGGCACCCATGTATGCAAACACACAACTTGATTAGTTTTAGTTCACCTAATTATCATGCAGTGTCTACAACAATTAAGACTATCCTCCACCGATAGCCCAAAGCAGTTATTTCTAAACAGATAATAAATGCAGCAACAGGTAAATTATCAACATTTTCAAAGGTGAGTGATTAATGAATCCAACTCCACCATTCTACCTCATAATGAGCCAATTTCATTATTCCCAACTCAATTTCATAATTCCGTAACATTTCCAAATTAATTATATAAATTAATTCATAACAAAATTTTAGGGCTTTCTCCCATTTTTCTCAACTTTGATCCCAAGGCTCAAATGTCAACAATAACACCAATAATCTCATTTCTAACCCCAAATACACATGTATAGGCATCAAAATATAAAACCCCCCTTTATACATTTTGAAACCCTAACACCCAAAATCACCCAATATCAACATCATATCAAAATGACTAAAAATTTATGTCAAAGAGCATAAGAATGAATAGTTATCCCTACCTCAAATTCGGAGTTCAAAGGACGAAGATGGAGAAAACTCGAGGTGCTCCAAATCAAGAAATTTTCAGATCAAAGTAAAGCCCCCACCAAGCACAACACCTTTTACAAAGGGACAAGGGTATGAGATCACTCTTACTAGATCAATACCTAGAGAGAAGTTGAGTTTTAGAGAGAGGTACTCTCCAATGGAGGTTTTGAAAAAGTAAGAGAGAGAAAGGAAATCAAAAAGTGATTTAAATGGCCCAGCTGCGATCTGATATACGTATGACCCGCTCGAGCGCAAGAATGCCCGCTCGAGCATCAAGACACAACTGCAAAACACACCCGCTCGAGTGCAAAGAGAAACCCGCTCGAGCGTAGATTACACTCGTCCAGTACTTTTACAGACATTGCATACCTGCTCGAGCGCCAAGAGGCCCACTCGAGCGCGAGGAAATCTGCTCGAGCGTGAAAAACGCACCTGCAGAAGTTTTGCAGAGGCACAAAATGCTGAAAATGTGTAAACTCTGCTCGAGTGCAAAGGGACTCGTTCGAGCGGACCACCAAAAATCTGGGCAACAAGGAATGGGACTAAAGCTCAACCAACCTATTCGAAACACGCCCAACACAACCCAAGACTCAAATACAAAGAGTAAAGAATGGAAATGAGAATGAGCCAACAACACATCCACGGAACCGAGTCCGAAATACAATAAATAAAGAGAGGAAAAACCAGGATCGCTATAACATCCTCCATGATTTCAGAAACTTCATGAGATTATGTTTTCAATTTCATGTTTTGTTCTTCAAAAGAAAAAGAAGTTAGAAAATCTTTACATGCATGAGATTTAATTCAAGTTTTGCTTAAATTGTTGAGTTTTAAGTAAATGATTTTCTAAAGGGTCATATATTGGTATTTTTCAAGTGTTTTCATATTTTCAAGAAAGCCATGCATGATCCCCAAGTCTTGGAGCAAAGTTTGGAAGCAAAAATCTTCAATTTCAAACTCAGAATTTTTACAGACCGTTTGAGCGACCAAAATGTGGCTCGAGCGAACATTACGAACTTCCAGAACTTTTGCAGTCTTTATAGACTGCTCGAGCGATGCTGGCTCGAGTGAACTTTCGACCCATCCAGTATTTTTGCAGACAATGCAGTCTGCTTATGACGACCTCACCACGTATAATAATTAGCATTTAATTAATTAAGTAGATTTGAATTTTAATTGCCCATTATTTTCTAATTTATCTGGATTTATGAAAATTATGGAGACTGATTTGTATATGATTCTATTAAGGATTTATTTTGGAATTTGAAATTGAAAGCCTAAATGGCTCAAGAGAGTATAATTGGTGAATTGAATAATTTGAGTATTGGACCATATGAGAGTTTAATTAAATATTCGATTCAGTTTAGTAAAATTAAGATTTAATCAATTGGGTCTGAATTGGAATTAATTAAGTTATGAGAATTGGGAATTACAATTATTATTTATTAAATTTAACTATGACGTGTTCAATTGAATATATAATTTATTAATGAAGATTTTGTGTTTGATCCAAAATTGAAAGCCTTGATGATTTAAGAAACCATGAAAATAAGTTTAATTTGATAGTTGGAGCCTTTTGAGAGTTTGATTAAAAATCTCATTCAGAATGATAAATTTTAATATAATTAATTGGGTTATAATGGAAGCCAAATTAGATTGATTAAATTATGTGAGATTTGTGATTAGTTATGATTGATTTAATTATGTGCTAATCAAGATTTATCAAGACTGAGTATTGCTTAATTAAATTAATCTGAATCATAAATTGAATTATGAAAGAATTTAGAATTGATGGTGTATGTGGGTGTGAGTGTATTAAGCAAATCAGTGGGTGTTTGTGTGTGTGTATGAGTGTTGTGTTGGGAGCTCAATATTGTGTGCACGTGTTCTTGAGATGTCAGCAAGAAATGGTGAGATTGTGTACCTCTTAATATGGAATGAGAAGTAAAATGAATTTATTCATGTGTATGTGCTAGGAGGAATAGAGCCAAGAGAGAGAGAGAGAGAGAGAGAGAGAGAAACTCTATGTGCTGGAATGGGGAAGGTAAGTAAGGGGAAAGCTTGGAAAAAGTGAATAATTGAAGACAGACTAAAGAAATTGTGAAGAAACTCATCAAAATGAAGGTTTTGGGTAAAAAAATTAAAGCTCAAATCTTATAGATAAATTATTTAGAAGCTGAAATTAAGAGGTTATTAGATTCAATTTCATGAAATGAAAAACAAATTAGCAAGAAAATGTGTTAGGCTAATGAATATGGAAATTCATCTCATAATATCATCAAATTAAGTTTAATTTTAAACACTATGAATATGGAAGGATCCATATTTTGATAGGATTCATAGATGGTTAGAGTCGATCGTTCTTATCCTCTTCTGATTTCACCTTATCTTCAAGTGTCGGTAAAGGACAACTGTATGGACAGCTGCGTGAGCAAAAGCTGGATTGGCCGACAAGGCATCTACTTTTGCCGAAAGTGATTGTACTGTATTTATCTTCTTCTGCCGACGTTTCTGGAAAGCTACTGAAGTGGGAGGCAAAGAATCATTCTTCTTTTCCTTTTCTTTTCTTGTCTTTTTCAATTTTGTCAGAAATGAGACTGGTCAATGAATCCCAAAAGTCACTGAAATTAGGATCATTATCAGTTGGATCTTGAGATTCGCCTGCAAGAACTAAGAATTCATTCTCATCTAATTATGGATCAAAATGTTCTTCTGGACTTTGACTGCTAGTTCTAGAGTGCATACTAGCATCATCTTTGGAGATAGACTGCAGGAATTGTTCTTTCATAAAATCCATACTTTTAACAATTAATTCTTGTTCTGATAATCCTGGATATTTTTGTCACAATTTAGTCTGAATTTGGACAAATGGATTTTGGATTACTGGAGTAGCTAGGAGTAATTTTGGAGCAGCCTCCCAACAGGCTTGAGTATGAGCCTTGGTCTTCTGTAAAATTTCTTGTTGTTGTTTAGGGGTGTCAAGCCCCTTTGTCCACCATTTAGTAAAGAAAACTCTTTTTAATTCTTTTCATCTTGTAAGATTTTGTTATTTTATTTGCTGTCGTAATCTAAGATCATTGCATAAGGCAAGACCTTTATCTGTAACAATACCTATAAGTTGGCCATAGGTATATTTACTGTATGGTATACTTAGTTGATTATGGCGATCCCGTAATTTTTTCCGTTCTCTTTCAGCAAAAAGAGTGGGAAGACCATCTATGAACTTAGCCTTCCAATGTTCTAAATTAGCATCAGATCGACGGGATACTTTCATCATGAAAACATCTTTATACCATCTGAAATGGGATAAAGAAGGACATCTAAGTTTCTGTAAAAGTTCCCTGCTACGATCTTCAATGCCACTAATGGCACCGACAAAGTGTAGGACAATTGTATTAACAAGACTGCAAATAGCATCTTGTTCGTTGTGAACTAGACCTGTGAGTTCATCTGTAATGGGTTTGGTGGTTGTTAAAATTTCTTCTTTTCGTTCTTCTTCAAAAATATTATCCCACCATCCTTTAAGTATTCCTGTAAAGTCGCTAACAATAAAACAGGCCACTTGGTGGTCTGTATTTTCATTTTGTTTGCAAACTGTTGCAAACATAAGCATGTGCTGGAGGATTTCATATATTTGATATTCAGAAAGACCATCAATATTCCATTCATAAATGGTTTTACTATAGTAAGATCGCTGGTTTTGGAGGAAGTCTTCTTCATAAAGAACATCCACATGAGTAGGTCTAGGATAATAATATCGACTAGGTCCTAAAAGAGCCATTCCATTTGTATTTTGACCATAATGAACTTTATTTATGGTATGAGGCTCATCCTGAAAGTTAGCTTGAATTTCAAAAATTTGGGAAGGATCCATATTTTGATAGGATTCATCTTGATCTCCTAAATGGTTTCTGGACAACATATTAACTTGATAGGATTCTCCAATATTAAGGTCTTTGATTTTCTTAATAAGGGTATCCATAAATTCTGTACTTTGTTTTTGTGACTTTAAATGAAAATTGGTTACTACTAGAGTTGGTTTCAGATTAACTGGATGAATAGGTACTGGTTTGGGCTGAAGGTGACAGTTATTCTTAATTTGGACTACAGTTACTGTCTGATAGTAGAGATTGGTATAATTGTGCTATTTGATTAGTGGTATGATGTCTTTCATAGCCACTGGATCTTTTGAAGAAATGCGTTCTGGAGTTTCAACAAAAGTAGTTATGTTCAAAGGCCTACTGGTCGTGGAATCACTAGGTTTGAGTTCCAAAGATTTTGGTGGTGGATGGATAGAGGTAATACTGGTGCCATCAGTAGTTACCCATGTTTTTTGGATATTTTCTAAAACATTAATTTGAGATTCTTGGATAGAAACATTTTCCTTAAACCATAAAGGAAAAGACAAGAGTTTCTGGTGTTGCTCTAAATAAGCATAATACCGAATTTTATATTCCTGTAATTGTTCTTTGGTATGATTATCAAAATACCATTTTCTAAATTCTGTATATTATTCCTGATTAAAATCCTGATTTAGGATTTTCCTATTTTCACTCCCTGGTGTAAAATCCATTAAATTTCAAAATTCATATCACTGGCTGTAGGGCTGTAAGGCCTTTTGGATTCATAAACACGATGAGGTATTTGATTTTCTGAAAATTGAATTCCCTGTACTATTGGATCAGTTTGGTCAGGGTTACGGGTGGTTTGGAACGCATACCTTGTAGGACTGATTCTACAGGCTCAGAAGTTGATTGTCTAGAAGACTCAGGTAACTCTACCCTATATGATGGAGCAGTTCTAAAACTGGTAGTAGACATGCTTCTGGATAATGGCCTTTGTGGTCGTTTAAAGGTAAGGTAAACATTACCTCCTTCTGTCTTGATAACATCATCCAGAGATTGTTGGATGATAGGTCTGGCTGGTATAACATTATTTATTTGCCATCTTTCTAGAAACGTAATCTGTTGCCAAGGAATCATCTTTGGCACAACAACTTGGCTACTGAAGAGATTTGTATCAATAAGGACCGTATGTCCTCACTCACTATGCTTTCTGATGTATGGATTTAAAGTTGTTAAAACTTTTAAATAAATTCTGAAAATTACCGTAAAAGGTGGCGATCCTGGGAGATACTCATAACCATGAGATAACACTCTTAGTTCTAAAACTTTAGACAAATTCTGGTCAGAGAGTGCTATACTTAGGTTTGGATATATATCAAAATATACAGGACCATGTGAAAGGTTGGTTTCTATGGCTCCCATAAGAGATGCTCGCCAATTGGTACATCTACCATCTCTAAGGATACACTGGATACTGGTATTTTGCCTAAGAAGGGTCAAAGGCTTGAATACTATCTGGACAAGTCCTATATGGACATACTTGTATTTCTGTAGAAATGGGTAAAGATCTTGTATGTGCAAGAGATACATAAGTTCGTCATCATTCTATATTAAGGCTGCATGCTCAAAGGTTTTGATTATTTTGCTACTGGAAAAGTCAAAGGTACCTATCTTGTAGATAGTATATGGTTTGACCTTTGGAATAGTCCACTTGTCAAGGGCTTCCTTAACATCCTGGTATGCTACTAATTCTCTAGCTTCTGATGTAGAAGCTACGATATTGGATACTGTATTGGCTACTGTAGGGGCTACTTCTTCTGTAGGTGCAGTACTCATTTGGTTGTATTAGGACCATATATGTATAATTTAAAAATAATATAACATAATACAAATAATAATAAACATGGCTCTGATACCAACAATGGTGCTTGACACAGGATGAAGCTAAGCACGTCTGTCAACGACTTATGAGGGAAACATCCTAACCGCAATATCTGCTAACGGATATGCGTAACACTGTTCTACCCATCCTAACACTGTTCTACCCATCCTTAAGCACAAACCTGGCGATATTATTATTCATATTATTATTATATTAAGTCTAAATTATGATCCGTGGGAGATCAAAAAGCGGTACCTCACTACTCAGCATTCTCCACCGCACTTTGATCAGTACAAATATATTTTTGAACAGATCCTTGTGGAGACAGCTTCGGTTGATTTCAAACAGACTTTGGATGATCCTAATCGAACTGCTAGTCCCATTAATTACAGTAAAGCTACAATCTAGAAAATCATGCCTATGCAGGCTTGGGGTATGCACCCCTATGTGACCAGAACTCTTGAGATCCGTAACAAGGAATCTCGTTACAACTATTGGGATTATATTGATGCTTTCACCCAAGCATTTTATTACCAGAATTCCCCACGAAGCCATTCTCGGTTTCTTCACGTTCTTCTTGAAGTTCTCAAAACGATCTCCCCAACTGGTTTCTCGTTTGGTGGGATAAATTTGGTATTCAGATTGATGCTTTTCTAGAACCCATTCGCCTTGCCTTTAATGAATGACAGGCAGCCTACAGTCATCTTCCAGTATTTAAGGATTTTTCTATGTCCAAATCTACAGTCCACTTCGTTATACGCTTTGGAATTCCACGGATTTGGAAATAGGATTTTCAATGCGATTTCCAGAATAAAATTCCACGTTTAAAAAGAGTTTTCTTTACTAAATGTTGGACAAAGGGGCTTGACACCCCTAAACAGCAATAGGAAATTTTACAGAAGATCAAGGCTCATACTCAGGCCTACTGGGAGGCTAGTCCAAAATTACTCCTAGCCACTCCAGTAATCCAAAATCCATTTGTCCAAATTCAGACTGAATTGCGACAAAAATATCCATAATTATCAGAACAAGAATTAATTGTTAAAAGTATGGATTTTATGAAAGAACAATTCCTACAGTCTATCTCCAGAGATGATGCTAGTATGCACTCCAGAACTAGCAGTCAAGGTCCAGAAGATTCCCTTTTTTTACTGGAATGGGCATAAAGCCCTAGAAATTCTGTATAATAGGGGTTAGAACCCCTGCCTCAGCCCCTTCTACCTGGGCCACGGCCTCTACTGGACATTGTTTGGACCCTGCAAGTATTCGCAGGTTAGAAAATCTGGAAGAGAATTAGTGTCTCCTTTGATATATTCTATATCGAAATCAAATATGGAAAGTTGGCCTTGCCAAGCCGGAAAAATTTTTCGGAACATCTTTTTTGAAAATTTGTTTTGCTGCAGAACAATCAACTCGAATTAAAAATTTTTGATTTAATAAATCATCTTGGAATTTTAAGACACATTTAACAATAGCTAAACATTCTTGTTTAATGGTCGGATAGTTTTTTGCTGCTTTATTCCAAATTCCTGAAGTGAACCTTAAAAGTTCTTCTTTCTGTCTCTTGGGGTTAAACTGTTTAAGAATGCCCCCATAACCAAGGTTAGAGGCATTAGTTTCAACAATTTTCTTCCATTCTGGATGAGGTAAAGAAAGACATGGAAGAGTCTTGACTCTGGCCTTAATTTTTTGAACAGCTTCTGTATGTTCTAGACCCCAGAGTGGAAGATTTTTACGAAGTCTAGTGTACATATGAAAATCAATAGTACTGTAGGGGCTACTTCTTCTGTAGGTGCAGTACTCCAACCATCTATGAATCTTATCAAAATATGGATCCTTCCATTTAGGAGATCAAGATGAATCCTATCAAAATATGGATCCTTCCCAAATTTCCGAAATTCAAGCTAACTTTCAGGATGAGCCTCATACCATAAATAAAGTTCATTATGGTCAAAATACAAATCGAATGGCTCTTTCAGGACCTAGTCGATATTATTATCCTAGACCTACTCCTATGGATGTTCTTTATGAAGAAGACTTCCTCCAAAACCAGCGATCTTACCATACTAAAACCATTTATGAATGGAATATTGATGGTCTTTCTGAATATCAAATATATGAAATCCTCTAGCACATGCTTATGTTTGCAACAATTTGCAAACAAAATGAAAATACAGACCACCAAGTGGCCCGTTTTATTGTTAGCGGCTTTATAGGAATACTTAAAGGATGGTGGGATAATATTCTTGAAGAAGAACAAAAAGAAGAAATTTAACAACCACCAGACCCGTTACAGATGAACTCACAGGTCTAGTTCGCAATGAACAAGATGCTGTTTATAGTCTTGTTAATACAATTGTCCTACACTTTGTTGGTGCCGTTAGTGGCATTGAAGATTGTAGTTGGGAACTTTTACAGAAACTTAGATGCCCGTCTTTTTCCCATTTCAGATGGTATAAAGATGTTTTCATGATGAAAGTATCCCGTCGATCTAATGCTAATTCAGAACATTGGAAGGCTAAGTTTATAGTCTTCCCACTCTTTTTGCTGAAAGAGTATGGAAAAAATTACGGGATCGCCATAATCAACTAAGTATACCATACAGTAGATATACCTATGGCCAACTTATAGGTATTGTTACAGATGAAGGTCTTGCCTTATGCAATGATCTTAGATTACAACAGCAAATAAAACAACAAAATCTTACAGGACGAAAAGAATTAAGTGAATTTTGTGAACAATTCGTCTATGATACAAAACTCTAGTAACACAAATATGGAAAATCTTCAAAACATTATTCCAAAAAATCCAGAAAATAAAAATCCTCGAAACAATATGTCCAGCAATAACAGCCTTTTAAATCTAAAGGCAAATCAAAACCATCTTACAGAAAACAAAATAAATCCTCCACTACATGTTATAAATGTGGTCAAATAGGACATTATGCTAATCGTTGCAGAACTAAGATTCAACAAAAGCTCAATGAATTAGCTCTCGACGATGAAGTACAGCAACAAATTCTTCAGATGTTATTCGAAGACTCCAGTAGCTCAGGTTCAGATGGTGACCTTGCAGCATTGTATTCACTCGTAAAACTTATGCCTTCAACAAGGGTGAGGCATCCCTTTATACAGATAAACAAAGAAAACAAGATAAGGATGAGGAGGGTAGGTGGCGTGTCCTAGATGGTTGGAGTCGATCGTCCTTATCCTCTTCTGATTTCACTTTATCTTCAAGTGTCGGTAAAGGACAGCT